GAGTAGTTTTCGCGGTTAGCGATTACAACGGTTTTAGCAACTTTGCTTTAAATATAAGTAAGATTTGTCTTAAAAATTTTGCACCTTAATGTTATAAAGAAATATCAAAAACATTGAAATTTGAGGTTATGTCGTCTTATAACTGAACACCTTTCTTTGAGTGTGACGCGATATTTTTTTTCCTTTTAAGGATGCCTTTAAAAATCGTTATTATTTGTGTATTTTGGTTTCTGTAAAAGATATGGCGTATTTTCCTATATTTGGAGGTTATATGCACGCATGACCATGTAAATCATTTCTACGCTATCGTAACTTTGTACAAAATGAAATATAACTATTCCTTTTGTGTTCCCCTTTATTATATGAAGGTACATCGAAAACATCTAAAGTTGAGGTTATGTTTATACATAATTCAACGCCTCTATTTTTGTGCACCACAATAATTTTTATTCTTTCAAGAAACCTGTAAAATTCGTTATTTTTTCTGTATCTTGCTTTTTCTCAAACATACAGCGTATTTTTAATATTTAAAGGTTATGTCATATTATAAAAACCCGCTCAATCCATACTGGCTATCTGCATTGACCTGTGATACATGCAAAAATAATTTGTTAATGTATATCATTCAAATAATAATGTTAACTAAGGTATATAGTATTAATATTAACTACTATATTCTCTACACATGCGTGCAGGCAAACATGTACACATTCACACTGGAAAATTAGAAAGTGCACACACACACATTGTACATGCACACTTTCATGATTGCATCCATATTATGGATTCCATAATTCTGTAAACAAGTTATATACACATACATATGTGCATGTATACATTGTGTACGTGGACACTACTAACAGTAACACACTACAACACGGCAGTAGGAGTATACATAACACCACATGCTGACTATATGTATCTAGCCGAATCCAAAGGCGAACGATGAGACTTAAGGGCCAGTACAGTTGCAGATGCGTAAAGCATAAAGAAAAAAAGAGAGAAGCAGGAGAGAGTGAGAAAAGCAGCGTCTACATGCACGTGCTTATGTACCCCTCTTCCTCTTGCCCACCACGCTGTTTTTCCTTGATTGCTTTCTGACGTACGTTCAACGAAATAGGTCCCCAATCAAGCGCGCGAAACAGAGTTCTTACTTTAAGAATATAGGTTGCTTAAAAAAAAACTAAAACATGGAAGTTTGTTGGAAAAGAGTCAATGCTTTTCTTCTGTTTTTTTTTTTTTTTTAATTTTTTCAATTTAATGGTTATAGATTTTAACTGATTCCTCACTCAATGATAAAGGCCATATCGTATTGCTTTTAAAAGTGATGTGTGAAAAATTTGCACAAAATTTGACATGAAGGTACCGGTTTCGTGGGTAAAAAACTGGCGTATCTAAGTGGAAGTTATTCCATTTTAACGCTTCGAGCAAAAACTACGATGATTCACTGGGCTACGGTAAACAGTACTTAAAATATATACATCTAACTACTTATAATTATATCTCATTTTATTCTATTAAAAATAATAAAATTAAAATAGTATTTCACCAAATTATTTAAATCAGCATATTTTTTTTTAATATTGACGAAATTGAGAAGGAAATTTCAAAAATTCACAAAATTACGGGCCTAACGTGCCTTTCTACTGTAAAAAATGCTTATTAAATCATCGGTCGATAAGAAAATTTTTTTTAGACACTGATCTGTTCCAAACTTGTGGAATTTTTTTTGTATAAGTTTATTATAAGTTTGTTCTTAACAACTTACTTTGCTATACGTATTTATTCTTAAAAGTATACGTGAAAAAATACAAATTGCTTTAAGAGCCGATGATGATGATATTTTTTTATTTTTCTGTACTTCGTAATTTTGTTGTCTATAACTTCTTTTCTTAGTGTTTTTTTAAACAAATAAATGCGCGTGTAATAGAGAATTTACAGCAAGAGCTTGCTTTTATGGAAATTTCCATTTTTTGAGCGATAATTTTTTTTTCCATGAAACAACAACGATATATTTATGAAAGTATTTTTTTACACAGTTAAAAGTTAGCATAAATTTTTTTACCATTTATTGTGTAGTGATTTTTGGCTCTACATATGAAAATATTAAATAATTGCAATATAAAATATTATTTCAATCTGCATTTTTTTATACATATTTCTAAAAATAAGTACGTACAGCAAAGTAAATCGTAAATAATAAACTAAGCTCATGCAATTAAAAACAGATAAGTATTTTGAAAAGTGTTGCTCATAGACCATTTTCAAAAACAAAACGATATTAGATTATTTATATGCCGATGCTATAAAAAGCATTTTCCGCCCTCGGGTGGTTTTGGGAGGCTGGTACTTCCTCGGGCGAAAAAGCAGTTTTCCGGAACTCGTTCGAAAAGTCTCCTTAACGAACCTCGTTACGTCCCTCGCCTTCGGCTCGGGCCGCAAACCTCTCGGTTCGCAAACAGAGACTTTTCAAACTCGTAGGAAAACTACCATTTCTCCAGTGGTGAGACATGTGAAGCCCTTAATTTTATAAGTTTTGTACATTTCCTACTCAATATTAATACTTCAACTAAAATTACGCTAATTCCAATATTTTGGATAAATACTGAACCAATTCCATCATACTTGATAAAAAAATGTAACATGATTATAATAAATTAAATGTAAATACTTAAGTACTGCTTGCCAGAGCTCAGAAAATCGTCATAGTTTTCACTAGAGGTCTCAAAATAGAATTATTTTTACCGTGGCCTAATGTTACTCATTTTTTATTTGAGTCATCAATATCTCTATATCAAATTTTGCGCAAATCATTCTTAAGTCATGTACAAAAGCGTTGGAATATGGCCTATACCATGGCTTTGTAAGTGAAAAATCGGTTGAAATCGATGACTTTCATATAGAAAAAAGTAGAAAAAAGCTATTGGCTGTTTAAAAAAGTAATAGTGAAAATTTTGGTTTGGCATTAAAGAATTACATATATATATATACACAATTCATCATATAAACATGGTATCACATTGTACGTATACTCTAGTTTGTATAAGAAAAAAATAATGTGAATTATTTTATAAAAATAGTAAATTACTTTCATGCTTTATTAAACCTGTACTAAATAATGATATACTACATGTGTAAGCATTCATGAATGCATAGAAAAAACATTTTGAATATAAGAATGAATTCGTGAAAAATTATGATGATAAAAAAAAAACATAAATAAAAATCGAAAACCAGACTATTTAGCAAGAGCAAAAGACTTAGCCCACGCAGGTATCAGCAATCGTACTTGCAGCGTTAAAGATTTCACATAAAAGTTATGAGAAGTTGGCAGGGCTTCGATTAAAATCAGAGGGAGGACTCTCGCACTCCAGTTTGTTCTGTTGGGAAAGGGTGATTGCGCACTGCGCACGCGACAAACTTCCGAAAATCTGGAAGCTTTAGGACCAGCTTGTAAATCGGCTTTTTAACAATTAATAAATAAAATGGTCAATGCTTTGACAGATCACAATTGTACGATAATAACCCTTATTTTCTAACAGTAAACTTTACGCATTGCTATTGAGATATAAAAACTCTGAAAGTGTATTCATACCAAATGATTCAGAAAATAAATGAAACATTTAAAGTATAATATGGAAAGAAATTGTTAATAGTGAACAATTGTACAAAATTTTTTTGTTTAATAGTCACAGAAAACTCTAATACGAATGGAATTTGTTTCTACATAAGATAAAATTGAACATTCTCTTTTATTTTGCCTTTTTCCATTATTTTCTTCGAAGTATTATACTGACTAAGTTTATCGATTAAATGTCTTACTTAAATACGTAAAACATATTGTCATTCACAAAAAAAGTAAAATAATATATTTCCAACAATTAGCAGAGTAGACTTCTCGAAAATAAGATCAATGCATCTTGTGAATGAAGGTGATCAGTAAAATAATATTTTTCTGTATCAATTGGTACTTCTATCGTATAATCTTATAAATTATAACTGATTATTGATTTTTTTACCATGATCACGAGGAGAATTGAGGTGGGATCAAAGGAAGCCACTTAAAAGTGTGAGGGAAAACGAGGGGGGCTGAGAGATAGCAAGAAGGGGTACTTTTTTGTAGGCTAATTTTTATTGGGTTCATTTAACGGTGAAAAATAAAATTTTTTTCCTTATTCTAAGAAATTTAGAAAAGCTGCTGACTGAATTTAGGTCTTACAACAACATAATTTAGTGTACATGCATAAAACTATTTCAATATTCCTGCACTTATATTTACTGAATGCAATACAAGTTTCAAAGCATTGATGTTTTTTCTTTGACAGAACAGAAAAAAAAATTCTCTTATGACCCTGCAAGATTTAGAGTCATAATAATGACACAGAAACAGTAAAAAAAATAATTAAAAAGTATATAGACAACACGTACTAATTTATATACAGGTTATTTAATTACTTATATTTTTTAAGGATAAATTGCAATACATTGTAATAAACAATAATTTAATAGAGGAGTGATAAACAATACTAGACGATCTGGCCTAAAAGTTTTCAAAATTTAACTTTCGACTTGTCCTTAAATAAATTTAAATCATACATCAAATGCATTGCTAAAAGTTGTTACTCTAAAGTTTAACAAAATGTTTAAAAAATCTATTTTTTTGCCAATTCACATACATATAAATGACTTGTGAATAAGAAATAAGTAAAAATAATCGCATTCTTAACCAAAAGTTTTACTTTTAAAAGCTATGGCAATTCAAGCAAAAACATAAAAAATTTCACCAACAACAGTTATTATCCTTGGTATACGGTATAATCCACATTTATATACAGTATGTTAAAATTTAAAACCCACAAAATAAAAACAGTCAACAAAGTTTCTCACAAGGGTTTTGAATACATGGTATAAGAAAATAATATTGGTATATATGAATCACAACTGATTTGTGTAATATACTGGCTTAAAGCATGTGTAAAAACATTAAAATGACCTCATAC